TTCTGGTTGGGTGTATAAATGTTAAGAATTGACATCTCATCATGTTGAGTGTTTCCCTTAACAAATATAAAGGGACCATCCTTGTCCTTCCTTACTTTTGTTGGTTTAAAGCCTAGTGTATCAGCAAATGAAATTGCCACCCCTGCTTTTTTCTGATTTCCATTTGCCTGGATTACAGATGCCCATCCTTTCGCTCTGAGTTTATATTTATGCTTTAAGGTAAGATGAGATTCTTGTATGCAAAAGATATCTGGCCTCAGTTTTTGTATCCTGTCAGAGCCAACCTGTGCCTCTTAAGAGGATAGTTTAAGATATTCACATTAATTGAGAGTATTGATAAGCCTGGTGTATTTGGGGTGTCAAGTTTTTTGCAAGTCCAGTGGACATTTTAAATCTTTTCACCACTGTGAAAATTGAGTTTTGGTCAAGAATTTCAGAATGAGTTTACTTTAGTGGTAGAGCATTGTGCTGGTCATTATGGAGCATGGGTCTGAGGATATCCTGAAGATCTGGTTTGGTTATGGCAAATTTCTTCAACATGTGTATGTCATTAAAGTATTCAACTTCTTCATCATAAATGAAGCTCAGTTTAGATGGATACAGCATCCTGGGCTGAAAGTTGTTTTGTTTTAGGAGATTGAAGGTTGATGACCATCCTCTTCTGGCTTGAAAAGTTTCAGCAGAGAGATCTGCAGTAATTCTAATATTCTTCTGCTTGTAGGTTATGATTTTTTTACATCTGGCTGCTTCCAAGATATTCTCCTTCATATTAAGTTTGGCAAAGTTAATTACAGTGTGTCAAGAAGATGCTTTATTTGAGTTGAGTTGTGCTAGGGTTCTGAAATTTTCTGCTATCTGAATTTCAGTGTCTCTTGCCATGTTTGGGAAGTTCTCCTCAATTATCACTTTGAGTAGAGTATCTGTGCCTTTTGGACCATCCTCTTCTCCTTCAGGGATTCCTATGAGGCAAATGTTTGCTCTTTTGGAGTGGTCCCACAATTCTCCCAGGGAATGATCCATTTTTGCTCTCTACTTCTCTTTCTCTTTGAGCATTTGGGAGCATTCAAAAGCCTTGTCCTCAATGTCAGAGATGCTTTCTTCTGCCTGCTCCATTCTGTTACTGAGGGATTCTACTGTATTTCTCAGCTCTTTGAGGGCTGCAAGTTCTTGCCTCAATGTGTCAAAATCTTTGGTGATTCTGTCTTTGAATCATTGAATTCTTGAGACTTTTGAGTTGCTCCTTGAATTTTTAATTCCATCTTTACCTTCATTCTGTTAATCTTATTTGCAATCCAAATTCTGAATTCAATTTCTGACATCTCAGCCATTTGTTTATAAATGGGATCTTCTGTTGTGTCTCCTTTGTCTTTCCTTGGGGGAAGAGTTGATCCACTCTGATTATTCATGTAGCCAGAGTTTTTCCACGGATTCCACCCCACTATTATGTTTCATCTTTTGGCTAGAGAGGCTGGCAAGGTGAAATTGAATTGAGAGCTCCTGGAGTTGTAATTAACCAGCCCTTTAACAAACAACTAGGACTGGTGATTGTGGCTTTTCCCTTAGAGCTTTACAAAGATCCCATTCAGAACTACAGCCTGAAACTCTGGGGACCTGCTTGGTGTGGTGGGGCTAGATGGTGCTGACCGGTATTCAGCTAGTTTCTGCCCTATCCTAGTGAATCAGTGGCTTCGGGCTGAAATCTCAGCTGTGGAGATATATAAGCAACTAAGACACCCCACCCTCCAACAGGAACAACTGGAAAGGGAGAATCCCACATTCCCACAATAACACAACCGGGTACAACCTTGGTGGGTCCTGGGGTGATCAGCCCAGGTCAAGAATTCCAAACCAATTGTTCCGGTACACAAACACCAATCTGGTGTGTGAGTTCAAAATGTCTTCATCATCTAGGCAGCAGGGTCCACTGGCAGCTCAATTTGACCCCAGTAGGAAGGACTGTGGAACTGCCACTTCTGTTAGGGGCAGCGCTGCCACGGTCTGGGTGGGGCTGATCTGGGGTACTGCTGTGTGCAGGTTGCCAGAGCTGGTGGGGAGCTGGAGGATGTTGCCACCAGCCACAAGGGTCATAGGAGCCTGTCAGGGAACCAGAGGAGGGAGCCTGACCCCTGGGCTCAGGCTGAAGGAGCCGAGTGGGAAGCTGGAGAGCAGAGTTGCCAGCCTCCAGGGCACCAGGGGTCACAGGAGTCGCTGGCCATGGGCTGCAGGTCTCAAGAGCTGGATAGTGAGCTGCAGGGTGGAGTCCCTGACCTTGGACCCTGGTCATAGGAGCTGGGTAGGAGTTGCTGACCACGGATCACAGGAGCCAAGCGGGGAGCTGGAGGATAGAATTGCTAGGTGGGAGTTGCCAGCCACAGGTTGCAGGAGCTAGGCTGGAGTTGCCAGCCATGGAATGCCAGTCACAGGAGCCTGGTGGGGAGACCAGCCACCCACCACAGGCTGCCAAGCAGAGAAGCTGGTGTGCCATGGTCTCAGTGGTTGGTAGCGTGGATCCCGAGCTATGGTCTTTCCAACATGGGACAAGTCTCTCTCTCCTTGTGACTACCTGCCTCTATTAAAGTTATAGTTTCAGCAAAACTGCCCCACAACTCATGAGGTGCCCTGGCTTAACAAAAATCTGCCAAATGCTCCAGACTTTGCAGGGGGTAGTCTTCCAGACAACCAAGAGAGGGGAGAAGGGTGGATTGGGAGTTTAGGAAGGAAGGGAGAATACCAGATCAACTTTTGGCCCAGGTAAGAAACTGCCTGGGCTTGCAGGGGTATCTCTCCGTGGAGGGAGTCCTGGCCCTCAGTGTTTCTCCCTTTTGGTGAAACAAAAGTTCCTCTGTTCTCTGCTCCCCTCAAACTGCTCTCTGGGGGAGGTTGAGGGAGAATTCCCATCCTCTTTGGGATGGGTTCTGTACCTGAAATTTGTTTCCTTGGAGTCCTAGCTTATCGCAGCAGGGGTGATGCAAACCTATTAATCCAGATCTCAGCTCAGCTCCCGATATCCTGCTTTGTTGGGTTACTTCCAGCAATTATTTCTCCCTCTGAACGGGAGCCTCTGCCAAAAGCTGGTTAGTCAGCCATCTTGCCTCCCTCCCCTCATGAAACCATAGCACATTATGGAATACTATGGGAAAAAAGAAGCAGGGAGGAGGAGAGACCTGATTTACAAGGCGGTGTGATCAAATGCCTTGTCGAGAGGATGATATTTAAGCTGAGAATTTAAAAACAGGAAAGAGTGGGTGAGGTGATGAAGCAAAGGAAGAGAACTCCAGACAGAGGGCACAGCATCAGCAAAGGTTCCACATCAACCAACCGAAAGGAGGCTGTGCTGGTGTGGTGGGTGCTAGTGTGCTGGGAATGTAGTTGTCAGGGAAAAACCGACATGAGGTGAGGCTGTAAAAACAGGCAGGGTGAAGTTCAGGCAAATTCCTATAACCTATGAAATAAATAGCTCAGATTCAATCAATGTACACCTGTGTCTGGAGAAGTCAAGAGCTAGAATACCGTTAATATAATTAGAGATTGGCTAAATAAAAGAAGTTTCCTTGAAAACATTGTGCAAACTTCATCCTGAAAAATTATTTATATTACTTTGATCCTTAAATGTAACTTCTATCTACTGAAATATAGTATGTTCAGGGTCTCAGATATTGGTGTTCTTTGAGACAACAGCAATGAATTTTTCTGGTACTTTAAACCATAGTTAGTGACAGTGAATGTAAAGAAAGTAACTTATTAAATACTAAGAAATGTGATACTAATGTGTGACACCAAATGTAATAGTGATACAGTGAAAACCAAAATTTGTCATTACAGTGAAAGCTTAAAAAAAAATGAAGAAAAAGAAAATTGCTTCTTTAGTTCTTTCCACCTCTAATATCATATTTGCTATGTTTTTCTTGTGTTTGGGTAATTTCTATTTTGTTTTCTCCCTTATTTTGCATGAATAGGCACTATTTGTTAGTCTTTGATTCTTACTACTCTCCTGAAGAGCTCTACTGTAAAACTCAGCAGTTGTGTGTGGTTTTTCAGCAGTCCCTAGTGAAATTGTAACAACGGGTAATAACCCAGAAGTTTCTGTTTTTCTTCTCATGTCTCTTTGTTCTTAGCAGAAGAACTCCCTTATACAGTGAAAATATGTGAAATCCCAATTCACAAAATATTTCAAATCAAAGCATTACTAGCAAAGTTAGAGTATAAAGACTGGGACAGCTTGGAAACTGTTCCCAGGAAGTTTGGTTCACCTTCAGGGCCTCAAAGGCTGTTCTAGGGGAACAAAGGTCTAGTATAGATAGTTTAAATAGTATGCCCTCAACTGAGATACAGAGTGACTACGTTCAGTCATTTGCATATAGTTTTCTATAATATAACCTAAAGATTAAATAGAGGCTGTTCTAAGGGAACAAAGTTCTAGTATAGATAGTTTAAATAGTATGCCCTCAACTTCCTTGCCTAAATGATTATTGGGAATTGAGATACAGAGTTACTATGTTCAATCATTTACATATATTTTTCTATAATATAAGCTAAAGATTAAATACAAATAGAATCATGTGATTATTTAATTTAAAGCAAAATTATGACAAATAGGCCCATTTTCTTCACTTCAAAAATTTGTAATGGCCAAATAAAAGGAAATAAATTTTACTCTCAACATCACACTCTTAAAAATTGCCATGCAGTGTTCTTTAATAATTTTCATACTGGATCAGACGTATTTTGTCAAGTGTTCTATTTCTACTGAATCCATACCAAAATTGTTAAACTTGCTAAAGCAACACATAAAATTTGCATTATTTTTTAAATTCGGCAACTTGTTATAGGAGTGAAATGCAATTTATCTTTAATGTATTTTATGAAATATGGTCTAAACATGTTGATTCTTCTTTGATGTTACTTATTGTATAAGCTAAGATTATCATTAGATACTATGTAAAACTATCATATTTTAAGGGAGAAGGAAGATAACGTCGCTTTTCTCTTAAACCCAACAGCTATTACTGGAGCATTTGGAGTGCCTTGTGTCACGACATGAACGGTCACTGAGGATGACGGTGGTAAAACGGCAAGCCCAGTCTCCCTCAGGAGTCTCTAGTGAAGTCGAGGTTCTCAAGGCACTGAAATCTTTGTTTGAGCACCACAAGGCCTTGGATGAAAAGGTATAGTATGGACAAAAGATTTCAAGCTTCACTATACTTTTGTCATCAGTTTTGAGCTCTTTGTTGTCATCGACTGACTCATCTGACTCCTGAAGTAAGTCACTTCAGAGGCACACACTGAGTTATATGAGAAATTATTTTTAAAAATGAAAATGGATTACTGTGCATATATCATAATAATGCTCACAATCATCTTCATTTTCTTTACCACTGAATCTATGGCTTACCAGAATTAGACTTCGATTATGATACATTATGGCCCTAGTTCAGTTGGTCATTTGAAATTTAATATTGTTTATATATAGTCATTCAGTCTCTCCCTCACTCTCTGTCGTCTTCCCTCTTTCTCTCTGAAATACACATCTATAGATGTCAAAATAAGGAACCACTAACAGAAAATGACACACATTTTTAGATGCAAATTGGGTGTACTTTAACTTTTAGACATTTATGTTAACAGCATTCAATTCCTTTAGGTCTCTAATATCTTATTTTTAAATGTAAATTTGAAGAGTCTCTGCATGAAGCAGCATAAGATATTAGTAGAAAAACCTGCTTTTTAGATTTTTATGGAAGTAGCTATAAGCTTCTCCGAGCTATTACTTAGATAAGTCTACTCACATATGTAAACTAATATTATGATAATATCCTTTGGAGATTAGAAAGACTTATGACATGACTTCAATTTTGTGAAATTTCAAAGGCTGAACGTTTAGAAATTAGTAAAGCTTTAGGACTTAGCGGAGTAGAAACTAGGACACTTCATTGTAAAGTATCTGACAAGCTCTGAGCGTTAAAATCCAAACTATGGATTATTGCTCAGTTATATCTATTTTTGAGCATGCAGACATTTTTATTCTATTTAATATTTATATACATGTATTTTTATCATCAGCCTTTCAGATGTTCTTTGCACAAAGAATTACGTGAAGTATGTACGTAAGATAAGTAAAATTCTATCTTCTAGATTATTAAGAAAAAATTGTTTCATTTTTCATTTTAGTAATGAGAGGCAACTAGTTTATGAATAATTTTGAATAAAGTAGAAGTGAATATCATATAAAAATCCATGCCAAAACAATATTGAGTAATCATTTAGTGTATTTAATGTTTCATTTCATATTATATTATCTCACTTGTTACACAAGGGCATGGCTAAGGATTTGCAAGACTTTATGTTTCTAGAATATTTAGTATCTGCCAAACTCCCTGGAAGCTATTTGAAACAGAAAGATAAATAAGATTTATCTTATCCTTATGATTGAAGAGTTCATAGTACTAGAGATTCACGTATCAGTGATAGGCAATTCTAAAATGAAATGTTTAAAATATAACACAGGAAAACCTGTGACTACTTCTGTTTGAGTGATAAAAAAATAAGAATGACTTCAAGAGGGGGTGGCATTTGATCTGGGTCTTAGAAAATCAATAAGGACTTGTTAAGCAGAGAACGATACTCCAGACAGTAGGAACAACATGTACAGTAACCCAGAACTGTAAAAAGAGACTAGCTCAGTTGACAAGTGTTTTTGAATGACTTAAATAAAGGTACTAGGAAATATGTGGTCTGAAATATTCCCTATAAGCATTCCACAACACTCATATGACAAATGCCTTTGAAAAGAAAGATTCTTTATGAGAACAGAAGGCAATAAATAGTACTTGACACATAACCTAACAGAGTGAGTACACTTAGGAAGAAAATGGTCATTACACAACTTAATCTGGAAATGATTTACTACGTAGAGATTTAGTAAGCTTAGCAAATCTAAATGAAGCTTCCTAAAATGTGACCCTGGGAGCTATAATCATATTTATGAACTCACTGGAAGTGCCCTGTACATTGGTGAGTTTAGGGTCAACTGAACTTATTATCAACTAAAAATGTTATGACCTTGGGCTCTGGAGTTGGACAGAACTGGACAAGTGACCTAACTTCTCTAAGCATCTATTTCTGCTTCTTTTGAATTAAGATAAAAATAATACCTACCTCAGAGTTGTCATGAGGATTATATTTGATCTGACATGAATAGTTTTCAAACGGTGCTTAGCATATGGCAAATTCCCAGGGAATGTTTAGGAATGTTACTAATCTGACTATATTTCAACATCTGATAAAACTTTCCAACCGAGTATATATTTTGGTATCATTATTGAGATGCTTGTTTTACATACTATTTAATTGAGTTATTGAGGGGCTAATATGTGCCTTTGTGCCTTCACAGACCATTTCCCAAACTACAAATAGCTCATAGATTCTCACTGCATTGGGGAGGGGTGTGGATAAATTTATAATATATTGGAAGATCAGAAGAAGATGCAATTAACAATATCTTGGGGTCAAGAAACTACTAACTTTACCATAGATGGGTTAGAATACATGGGTTAGAAGAACTAAATAAAGCATAAAAGATTGAGGATAGTAGTTAGTTGCAGTGACTGGAGGTCTTCATTATAGATATCCACTTGTTTCTATAGCCACTGAGTTGTAAGGTAGATTTTTATAATTAGCTAAGACCAACAGTAGTTCTGTCATCACCCTACAGTATATTGACCAATTCCATGAACCAGAGGAAATGGGAAATATCCATGCATTTTGCAATTACTCAGAAATCACTGACTATTAAAAAATATATGTTGGCCATGAATTGAAAATATGAACCAGAAATTGACTATTAAAAAAATATATTGGACATGAATGGAAAATACGAACTAAAACAAATTAAACATACATGTTGTCCATATATATTTCCATGCTCAAATAATCCAGTGTCGAAACTGGATTAAACTTCTGATCTGTGTTTTCCTCACAGACATTTTATATTACAGGAAAGATAATTCCCACAATGAAGTCCTACCATACCTTAATTTGAGTTTGGAATGTGTATTTCTTCTATCAGAGGTCCTCTACACTGCAACGCATTTGTCTTTTGTAGGATAAAATCTTGGTAGCCTTGAAACATCTTTTAGGAAAAACAGACAAACAAAAAAGCCAAAAACTTCTCTAAATACTTTTATACCACTGTGAAGAAAATAGATGTAACAAATGAAATTAGAAATCAGCAATTCCAGATGTGTAAAGATAACATATTTGAAAGTTACACTGTAGTTACATAAATAAGCACTTACTATCTCTTATTTTAAAGACTGCACAGACAATAGATGATTGAACATGGTTCAATAGGCCGGGGCAGTGGCTCATGCCTGTGATTGGAGCGCTCAGAGAGGCTGAGGTGGGTGGATTGCCTGAGTACAGGAGTCCCAGACCAGCCTGAGCGAGAGTCCCATCTCTACAAATAGAAAAACTAGCTGGATGTTGTGGCAGGCACCTGTAGTCCCAGCTACATGGGAGGCTGAGACAAAAGGAAATCTTGAGACCAAGAGTTGGAGGTTGCTGTGAGCTGTGACACCACAGCACCCAACCACAGGACAATTAAGTGAGACTCTGTCTCAAATAAATAAATAATAAAAGTGGTTTAATCATAAAAGATCATACAAAGTACAGAAACAAGTCTATCAACTGTGTACTTAGAGAAAAAATTAAAACTATAATTTTTCATGGCGTTATCAATCATATCTAAGTAGCCTCATTCCAACATGAAATCCAACTAGAAGAAAAATAATGACATTTCTGCTGTTGCAATCCTCAGAGCAGAGCAGAAAGGTAAAGGGCTTGTCAGAGGGGCTTTCTTGGGAGCACAGTTCCAGCCAACTAGACAAGGTGCAATGTTAAGATTCTGTATGCCCTGGAGAGGTCACTTCTTTGAATTCCCTTACTTTTCTTTTTTCCTAAGTTTTGCAGATGGAGTGCAAGATGAAGTTAACATGTTTCTTTTATATGAGGCTTATCCCAAAATTAAAAACAGAGAATAATTGATCCACATATAAATATGAGGAGCATTCACATCGTAAAATACTGATATTTGCAGCATTGACTGTTTACATTTAGAACATTTAGGTAAAATATATTTATAGTGTTTTTATATCCTTATGAAGAATTTTAGCTTCATTATGTTGTGAGTAACATAATCTCAATTTGTAGAACACTATTGTAAATTTCTTAAGGGGTGAGTATTCTGTTTTCATATTGTGTAATAAGCTTGATCACTTTTACTTCATGAAAGTTCAACACAGTGAAAATATAAATGCTTGACTTAACGTGAAATAGAAAACAGTTTGGAACATTTTATAAGTTTTTCAGTTTAGAGAAAGAAAGTTCGGAAGATAATAAAGCTTAAATTCAGCCATTTATGATATGACTTGGATGACTCTTTTAGAACCATCCCCATGTATCAATACATGTTTTAAAATAAGGTACCTTAACTTCTTCATAGGACTCTAAATGTGAAATGTTGTGTTTGATGAGATTATTAACTTATATGGAGATCATTTTATATTGTTGTTCTCATTTAACCAAGTTTCCTAGAACTTTTTCAGAACACCCATATTTTACCACTGGTATTTTAGAAATGGAAATAAACTTCACAATCAGCCCTGCTAAGTATCACACATATGCTAAGACCTTTATTGATATCTACATTCCACATGTTATCTATCTTATTCACTTTTATGGTTTCAGCTATTTGCTTCTTTTTAATCTGTCTAGGCCCAAGTCAAATCATCAGTGTCCCTTCTATGTATCTGTTACTTATTAGTCAGAATTAATTTTACGCACTTTTATAAACTAGTGGATATCTGTCTAACAGGATAGGTAGTTGCCAGTTGACCTGGTGCCACTAAATGCCTTGAAGGTTCCCGTGCAACTGTTTTTGATATCAAATGTCTGTTCTGGGTATATGACTACTTTTCAGGGAATTTGAGCAGAATGAAATCCAATAATGTTAAAACCCTTCTTGGATATTTTTCTTACTGATTCAGAAGGTATTTCACACAACAGTATCCACACATGATTGAGAATTTTTTTTTTTTTGAGACAGAGCCTCAAGCTATCCCCCTGGGTAGAGTGCAGTGGCATCACAGCTCACAGCAACCTCCAACTCCTGGGCTCAAGCGACTCTCCTGCCTCTGCCTCCCAAGTAGCTGGGACCACAGGCACCTACTACAACGCCTGGCTATTTTTTGGTTGCAGCCATCATTGTTGTTTGGCGGGCCCCGGCTGGATTCGAACCTGCCACCTTAGGTGTATTTGGCTGGCGCCTTAGCCACTTGAGTCACAGGCGCCAAGCCATGATTGAGAATTTTTAAAATTCCTACCTAGATTCTAGCTGCATGGGACATTGCTGCCCTTTGGTTAGTTTGCTAACTAGGAAATAATGTTGTAACTTCAACTGTATCTTTTTTATGTATCTGGGCTTTCATATATGACATATATTTAACTGACATTCTCAGTTAAATATTATTAGAAGGGAAAGATACTATCAATTTAAATACACTGTCAATGAGTTAACAAACTTAAAGCATATAGAAATATAAGCAAACATTAAAAGACATATTCACTGCACAAATATATAGCAGTTCCATGGAAAATATGTATTACTTTATAAATAATCAAAAACTCACCATAAATTATATCGTAAGTTAAAGCTATAAAGTTTGTCAAATTCTTTAAGACAATTAAACTGCCATAGTCATTCATTTTAATTCAAGAAAATTTATTTCTTTAGACTTTAATATATTGATAAATCATGCAAAGTGTATCTACAGATCTAAATGTGTAAGAACTAAAACAATTTTGGAAACTCTAAGAAAGTTAGAATCAAACACTGAGTTTCGTTTCTGTACGAAACATGTATAAGTCACCATTACTTTTCACCTAAAATGGTCAGTTTTTAGTTTGACATGATATCATGGTTTAACCTTTGATACTAGAAAAGTCGTCGAGATTTATAAAATAACTAAGAACTTTGCAATTCCTCAAGAGCAACACAGACATCTAATTAATGTAAAGCGGGAGCAATGAAGATTTTTTCAGGTTCTAAGAAAAATTATTTTTGAAGTTAGATCCTCAATGCCAAATTAAAATTCCCTTGTTCTTCTAGAGCAGTAGAGAAAACCAGGTTTTTCCTTGCTAATTTTGCATACGTAACCTGTATGCAAACCATACAATGAATTCATGATATGCTCTTGAATTTTATCTCCGTTGACTATGAATGGGAATTCAGGACAAGACAAATCAATCCTCAGCTTCATCCAAAAGTTCTCTCTGTGAACCACCAAAAGGATTTGCTAAAAAGGAAATCCTTGATAGAGTGATAACGTGAGGTGACAATGGACTTACAGTGTTCCTGCCAAGTTTGTTACTCTGAGCACCTAGGCCTATAAATACCTTAATGATTTGCCAAGTGAACTGTCTCTGGGGATGTTAATGATGGACTCGGCACAGTTGAATATTTATGGGATGACTATTACTGCACGTATTTTGATTTTTCTTCTAGGTAAGGGAGCGACTGAGGGTTTCTTTAGAAAGAGTCTCTGCACTGGAAGAAGAACTAGCTGCGGCTAATCAGGAGGTAACACACCGCACTTTCTCCTCTTTTGAGGTGCAATGTTGCCCACATCACATCCCTCGTGTTTCACATCACTCTCATTAAAACTGTCACGAAAGTAAATCGCATTCCCAGTATGCCCCCGAACAAGGCCTGTGGAAGCCAGTTGTCAGAGTCCTGTGTTCTGATTTTTGGTAATTTGTATCCATCACTAGGCGACCAAAGACAAACAATCGAGAGCCAGTGACAGGTGTGCTAGTGGGACGGGGATTCAGAAAGACGACAGTCAGGATGACAGTCCTTTCAGGAATGAACACTCAGCTCCAGAATCGAAAAATATGTCAAGTATCTGTTAAGAATATGTTACAGATAAAAGTTGACCTTTGAGAGATATATTGGTGTGTGTGTGTCCCTTCATACCCTGCTTACTCCTATCCCCTAAAAACCTGTGTCCATGGCAGTGACATCATTGAATCCACTTCTTTTGCTATCATTCTCAACTCCGAGAAAGTATTTTAAATCGCCTCTTTGAGATTTAGAGAGTTATGTTCTCTTTAGAAAATTTTACTTCTCTTAAGTTTTTAGTGCCCA